TTTTTTTTTTTTACTTCATTTGTAAGTTATTTATAGTCAGATTGTTCACATACAATTTATACAAATATGATTTTATTTATATATTAATATAATGTAATACGTAATATAAAAAAAAAAACTCTTGGGATGTGAAGAATAGAAAAAAATACTGCGAGATGAAGTGATAATATAGAAGAAATTTCATAAATAAAAAAAAGAATTAATTATTAAAACAAAAATAGTAATTATATTAAATTTAGATATGTGATTATATTTTAAAAAAAAAAAAAGTAAAAAAGTAAACCTGTGTCACACGCATGAATTCCAAATGAACATTTTTAAATGGTTAGTGGTTATTATTTATCTTGGAAGGCGGAAAATGTTTTACTCTAAAAATAAATAGTAAATAAAGATGTACGTTAATTGCCGAATTCCGTTTCCTTAGTGTCAGATAACAAGGATATATCACATGTTTAATCAAACATTCCTAAATTCGAAAATTTCATTTGGTTTTTTGTGACCCTTAATACGGAAAATTTCGCCACAAAAAAAAAAAAATTTGCGTACATTATCACGTGACATAAACATGGTTTGTTCATGTGATAATTAAGAAAATCGACAGTAAAAATTTTGACAATTAGATATAGTAAAATAAATGGAGAATGGAGTGTATAAAAAAAAAAAAAACTAGATCCTTCTATAACCGAGATTACGCGTAAATTTTTAGATTCAAATAAGATATATAAATCATTATTTAATCTATCATTAAGATCACGTAATCATCTTATAAATCCTTTGTTTTCATTTTATTTCCTTTAAATGGAGAACCATTTTTAGTTATTATTTAAAATATATCCACCAAAACGCGTTGTTTAAAATTTACAAATGGGAAGTAGTAGAAAAAAAATTTTGTGCATTGTTGATGATTATGACGTAAATTTTCGTTTGCTTTCATTTGATTTTTCTTCATTTAGTTATTTGATTGTAATTTTTACCCCTTTTTTTTCATCCTTCATTTTCTTTTCATGCATTATTTTTAAATGAATCGATTGATTTGTGAAAAACTTTACAAATGAAACCTGTTAAGTAATCGTTTACGGTAGATTTCGTAACTTTCTTTACCATCATTTCAGAATAAGATCCGAAAAGAGATTGCGATAATAATTTCTTAAAAGAGAAATAACTTTCCGCGAAGGACCTTTTTTTTTAAAAAAAAAAGAAAAGAAAGCAAATGAAACGACGAAAATGGGAGAATGGATGTAATATAACATATTATGATAACGATTTTTATCTTATAAATAAGGTGAATTCATATTACAGAGAATGTCACCGCATTTTTACAATATATAAATATAAATTATTATTTTTATTTATTTATTATACTGGTTTAAAAATATTTGTTGTGGAAAGGATCCTGATCTTTTCCAATATGCACTGTCAATCCGTAAATAATCGCTGGTGGCTATCATAGTTATCATAACCCATGTACTGTATTAATGATCTTTGTCAATGGTGTAACTATAATATAATTGGGGTACTGGACACATTAAAAAAAGTTGTTACAAATCCGTCCGAAAACTTGTCAAATTTTAGATAAACTTTCCAGTTTAAACAATTTTAGACTAAGATTTATATAGTAATACGGAGTTAATAATCGATTGGATCAATGAATTGATTTTCCGAACCAAAAAAATAACACTATTTTTCGGGAGATGATTTATACTATATTAAATGTAAACATCGCATTATTTTGGTTAATTACCGAGCAAGCGTTAATTAAATTAAATGTAAGTATCCTAATAAATTCTGATATTTTTAGGTTATGGTATTCGATTTGGTAACGTGTAACGTGATCGCGAAAAATTCGCGTCTGAAATTTAAAAATTTTTTTTTTTCGCGTTATTGTTATTATTATTATTGTGATATTCACCAATGATATTGCTCCAAGTTATCAATCAGTATATCAAACAAGTGATTAGATGTACACTAGTAAGCTTGGCGTATTTGATATTATTATATATATTTTGCTTTTTTATTAATTTATCAATTATTTACATCACCAATGAAGTTTAATTGATGTCCCAGTGATATAACTTTAAAACTACATTATATTTCTTATATTTAATAATGTCTATCATTATTCTTTTAAGTTTTAAGCGGTTTAATCACATTTTATTATTATTTTTAAAAAATGTATCTTTAATCTTTTTTTGATTTGATATTTTTTTCTTTTTTACCTTCTGTAATTTAGATCCTATAAGTGAAAGGATCTTTATTATCCATGTTTATTCGCGATTCTCACGATTTTTTACTAAAATTAATATTTGTTGAAAAACAAAATATGATGTAATGACACAAATATTTGGAATCTTGGAATTTTAGATTATATCAAATTAGTAACTTATTTATATATATGTACAATATCATAAGGTATTACCGTTTTTTTTTTTTTTTTTTTTTTTTTTTTTTTTTTTTTTTTTTTTTTTTTTTTCGTTTTTGAAGTTTTAACAAATTGACGAAATTGACGATGAAAGAAAATGATTTTACTTCGGAACTTCTTTCCGAAATATTTGAAAATCTTCAAATCCCTGAATTATTTAAATGTATTTTAGTAAATAAAAAATGGAGTGCAAACGCTATACGCATTTTATGGAAAAATCCTATTGAATTTATAAATTTAAATTTAATAAATTCTAAATTATCAAAAGATAAATCATATTTAAATATTATTTCTACTATGATTAAATGTTTACCTTTTGAAATTAAAATTAAGATAAGAACTTATGGGATTAATTTTGATGAATTGAAAGAAGAAAGTCAACCAATGTTTGATTATTGTTCATTAATAAAAAAGATATCATTTGATATGATTCTTAATGCTATTAATATTTTGTTTAATTCTCTTGTAGAAAAAAGCATTATTAAAGGTAATTAATAAAACTTTTAAATATATTAATTAATAATTACCTATAATAATAATAATAATAATATGAATTCTTCATTTTTATATTCATAGATCAAACATGTCATTATATCGTATTTCAAGAAATTTGTAATCATTTAGTTGATAAATGCGTCATTTCCAATAATCGAGATAAGAAAATTAATCCTAAATTCATTCTAAATGCTTATAATCCAAAACAGATTGGAAGTTGTAATAAAAGGGGTTCAAACTTTCCTTTACCAAGTCAATTACCACAAATGAAGAAATCATTATCTAAATTAGAGAAATTTAATTTAAATACTTGTATACAACCAAGATTTATTCAAGAACTTGATAATATTTGTAAAAATATTTTAAGTATTGGCATATATTGTGGATGTTGTGATGAACATTATTTAGCTGAATTTATCAAGAATCAAATGAATTTACGAGAAATTTATGTTATGTCAATGAATAATTTTCATTTAATTAAAATATCTGAAGCTATTAAAATTAAATTGGAACAATTAACATCTTTAACTATTTCAACTGGTCAAATTTCGTTGAATATTTTCAATAATAAAAGATGTGATCAATTAATTGAATTAAGTATATATAATTTTTGTGATCAATTAGCAGATATTGATGAATGGAATAATTTTTTTCGTTATAATTCTATTAGATTCAAAAATTTGAAAAATTTGGAAATACAATGTAATATTAAAAATTTTAAATATATGGGAATTTTTCTTAATGAATTATCATCACTTCAAAAACTTGAATTAGCATGGAGCGAAGATGAAGAAGATAATCAAGATTTAATTGATGAATTATTTCGAAATATTGCTAAATATTGTTCAAATTTAATTCAATTGGAATTATCTACTCCTAAATTTACTCAATCATTGGAAATTATTTTACAATTATGTAAAAAATTGGAATATTTAAATTTATTAAATACTAATAAATCAAATGATTTAAATGAGAAAATCTTATTATTAGGAAATTATTTTCCAATATCTTTAAAAAAATTTGGGGTACAATTTTATTTAAATATTTCAAAAGAAAAATTGGAAGAATTTTTAAATAATTGTTTTATGAATGGAATCAGAAATTTATCATTAGGTTTTTATATTGAAGAATTTTCTAATGATTATGAAATCATTATGATGAAATATGTAAAATTAGGAACTTTAAATAATGAATTTTTTAAAAGTTGGTTAGAATTTATGCCTTTTATACGTAAGTTGAATTTTTCTTTTTTTTTTATAACCTCTATATATACTATATATATATATATTTATTTATTTATTTATACAAATATTTTCTAATTTTATATTTTAGTAAGAATCTAAAAACAATGCAAAATTAGATTCAGATTCAGATTGGATCTTAGATTAAAAGTACGACATTAACACATATAAGGTAAATTATATAGACTAAATTTTTAAAGATTTTTCTATAACTTTTGGCCATTGCACAATATTTGATAATTTTATATTGTTTATGGGTATCGATATGATTGTTACAAATGTTACAAATAAGAGAAAAATAATAAAATTTTTAACAATAGTTTAATGGGCTTGACCGAGGGGTTTAAAAAAATATTTTGTGATAATTGTAACATGTACACTTACTAAATTATTATTAACGTTCAGGTCTCATGAATCTCATGTGATTAGAATCGATTTGACATTAAGCATAATAATTATAATATTTAATTTATTTAATCCTAGTAAATGAATTAAAACTTACGTACAATATATGGTTACATTATCGTAACCGTGGGGTTTCGATTAAAATTGTAGTATTTGTCTATTTGATTAATTTATTGATATAAAATACGTGAAGGTATTAATATTAAAGTATCATATTTATGCTGTGTAGATTATAGTAGTACCACTGCAATCTTAATAATAATATCTACGATGTCGAGAAACTTTCTTTGATGAATATGAATACGAAAATTATGAAGAATACAATATAAGCATTTTCCAATGAAAGAATCTTGCAACAATTAAGTATCAATCCAATGGCGCAAATATTTAGAAAATTTAGTGAAGTTTTACTTCAATAGCTTGAAAATCTAAGATATGATATAAAAATTAAATATAAAATCGTTGAAGATTTAAGTCTATTATTTCATATATATTCTAATTGATGTTTATTTGAATACTGATGAAAAAAGGAATCTATAAATACAAATAATAATCTGGAAATTTTTTTCCAAGAATATGTTATGAAAGTTATATATATATAGTAGCTTTTCGGAATTCTTTCCTTTATTATTATTTATAACTTAAAACTATGCTTTACACAAGGTATTAAGAAAATTTGTCAAATATTGAATTAATTAATTCTAATTTTTATACTATATAATAATAATTTTACCAGTTGTAAAAATATTGAAATAAATATTTTTTTTTTTAATAAAATAAATATGTTCGATAGGGTAAATATGCAATATACTTATATGGGTTACGCAGTATGTTAGAAAACGAAAATGGCGAAAAAAAATACAAAGTAAAATTCCCTAATAACTACTCTAATATAATTAAACTACAAACCACTCGTCATACCGGTAGTACCCCACGTGTGCACTGTTACCAAACGGTATAGATGTTTTTTTTGGGGGCTTGGCCGGGAAAATTAACTATTTTTACTAAAAAAAAAAAAAATTTTTTTATAATTGTATTTAAATTTCTGAAAGTTCTACTATACCAATCTTAAGTTTAATAAGTTTAATTTTATAATAAATAAATAAAAATACTTAATTTAAATTTAAATTAAAACCATTTCATGTATAAATTTTTTTATATTTTAATACATACTAGCAGTATATATTAACTACATCAACAATTAGCATTTCAATATGTCTTTACATTGATTTTTTTGGTTACTAAAAAATTTAAGTATAATTTATTAAATTTTCATTTTTATTTAATTGTTTGGTTATAAGTATTTTTAAGTTTTTTTTTGATGTTATCTTTAGCCGTTTATGACTAAATAATATAATTATATTATTTAGTCATAAATGGCTTAGACTAGGTTATTTAGTAATAAAATAATCTAACTATAACTAAATAATCTAAGTATGACTATAAATAATCTAACTATAACTAAATAATCTAAGTATGACTATAAATAATCTAAATATAACTAAATAATTTAAATATATCTAAATAATCTAAAGTTAATAATTTAAATATGATTAAATACTCTAACTAAATAACCTGTTTGTGACAATTTTATATACCTAGTTATTTTTTTTATTATATTCCTTCCCTTTGAATTCGCTTTTCTTTAGCCTTTTCTATTTATTATTTGTGATCATATGATTAAATAACCTAAATATTACTATTACTAAATAATCAAAATGTACCTATTTTTATTTAGTTCTGTGCGTCAATAATCATTTTCTAATATAATTTATGATATTGGAATTCTATAGTTGATTGGTTGTTGAATTCTATATTGGAGGTCTGGCTTGTCTGCAATGATCCCAAGTTTTATGACAAAGTTTCTGCCATTCTGTGCCTTTTTGGTTGCCTGTTAAGGGTTCGAGAGTGCTTTTCTTTCTCACCTATTTTGTTATCCATCAAAATGCCAAAATATGGTAAAAAAATATCATGTCAGTTGGCGCAGTAATTCAATGTGAATCTGCGATTAATTTCAGCTGGCACTATGGCATACACTAACCTACATTAAATTACCAGATTTTTTTATATATATTAAAATTATATGTAAAATTACGATTATTATATCATTGTATAAAAAAAATTTTTGTATTATTTAACCAATAAAAAAATTAGGTCAAAATAAACCGCAGACATGATACTTTACTATATGAAAAATTTAGAGTTTATGGGCTAATATTTAGTGTGGCCACCTTTAGCCTTAATTACTGCATTAACACGATTAGATAAACTTGAAATTAAACCATGTACCGTTTCAATGCTAATTTTTCTCCATTCTTCTTGTATAACATTTATTAATTCCTGTTTACATTTAGGTAAGGGCTTTCTTTTTCTAACCTGATGATCCAAATGATTCTACAAGTTCTCGATCAGGTTAAGATCAGGACTTTGCGCCACCCAATCTAAAATTGGGATATTATGCGTTGTTATCCACCAAATGCTATAATTTGATGTATAATATGAAGCTCCATCTTGCTGAAAAACAGAGTTAGGATAGTTATTAACTGTGGTTAGCAAGGATATTGATATATGTGTCAGAATCCATATTTCCTTTCACTACAACTAAAGGGCCAACCTCATTCCATCCAAAACAACCCTAAAACATTACTGAACCACCTTCAAACTTAACTGTAGGTAATATACAATCTTTATTATATGCTTCTCCAGGACTTCGCCAAACTCTTACCCTTCCGTCTGATTCAAAAAGAGCAAATCTAGACTCGTCTGACCATATGATTTGCTTCCATTCATCTCTCCAGTTTCGTTTATCTCTACTCTATCTTAACTTATCTTTTCGCTGTTTTTGGGTTAAAAGAGGTTTCTTACGAGTAACATAACTACCAAGGCCTTTGTCATAAAGGTATTTTCTTACAGTATTATTATGTAACGTAATGTCAAAGCTAAAGTTTAGTCTGTTCGTTATGTCACCAAGAGGAGAAAACCAATTATCACGAATAATACGTTGTAAAGTCTGTTTATCGCGTTGAGTAAGTGATTTAGGATGACCAGGACGTTTCTCAGGTATTGCAGAACCTGTTTTTTTGTGTCTTCTTATAGTGTCATTTATAGTGCTACTAGAAATATACATGCCACCCAAATTATTTTGGACTGCCGTAATTATAAGTAAAATCCCAAATTCAATTATGGCATCCCAAATTATTTTGGCACTTTACATAGTAAATTATATATAAACCGAATGAATTATGGCATCCCAAATTATAATTATGGCATTCCAAAATAATTTGGGCAGCATGTATAACTAGAAATACCAAGTTGAGTTAAAATGACCGTTTGCTTAGTGCCACTCAGGTATGCACCAATAATTCTTTCACGTTGAACTTCAGACAACTCGTTTTCACGCATTTCTTTTTAAAAGAGGAGGAGAAACAACATGTGAAATTTTTTCTTTTTTTTATGTACGATAAGAAGAAAATGCCAATTGTAATACAAGTGCGATCATTCACATGACTAAAATCTGGTAATTTAATGTAAGTTAGTGTAATTTCTGGCCGATCTTTTGAGTATGTAATTTGATGATCCAGCCTAGCACTATAACAGTGACCTGGTAGTATAGTGCAGAACCTCTATACTCAACTACTTATGTATAGTAACAATTGATTGATTATAAATTTCTAAAAAAAAAATTTTTTATATTAAAGTAAAAAATTTAACCGATAATTTTTATAGATATGATCATTAGCTTTAAAAATTATCAGTTATTTTTTTTCTAAATTAAATTTTGGCTAAGTTTTAGCTGTTTAAAAATCTGTAATTTAAATATACTGACAAAATTTAGTTAAAATTGAGACTAGTCTAATTTTTGCATTACAGATCTTTTTTA